CTGGGGCTTAGACTCCGTACGCTGGGAACGTCCGATCAGTGGAGTGCTAGTGGTACAGCCGGGTGGTCCCTTACACTAGGTCTAGGGGGGGAGGGTGGCCTCCAGCCTGGGCTGGGGCTGGATCTGGATCTGGAGGATACGTTCAGCAGTGTAGCGTGAATGGGATCGGGACCTGGAGTGGCAGGGAGCAAAGAGGACAGAGTGAGTACGGCAGCACTTTCTGAGATCTGCAAGGGGAAAGACTGCTACACGTAGCAAGCTTTATAAGAATAGCTCTGGGCTCAATCCTTTGTCCTCTTCCCAGTTGATCTTCCGAGAAGCCAACGGTATGTCCCAGAAAAAAAAAGTCTGATCCATGGAAGCCCCACAACAACTTGCAGGACTTAAAGTATCTGCTACTGATGACTTGGTGCCAGTTATCACAAAATAACTTCAGAGGTCTAGTGGAGTACAGGCCTTGGCAGGTCAGTGCTATTTTGTCGGCAAAATGGGGACCTACTCAATATTAGATGGGTGGTCATAAAGTTATGGTGAGATTTGATAACTTGACGGTCTGTTAATAGTAAGTGGAACCCAAGTGTCTTTGGTGGAGGACTGTGGGATCTGTGACGTGACATTGTTACCTACGATTGGACTTTTTCGCACACTTTTTGTAACTATTACTATTAAATGAATTTTAATTAACTGGGTTTGTATCAGAGCAGCTTTTTAATTTAGTTGCAGCAGATGCTGTGTAACTCCTGTCAGTGACACATGAAGTTGGTGTCAGAACAAGAAAATTCCTGCTTTAATAAATACTTGGCATCTATGTGTCTTGGCTTTATACTTGTATGTGAGGAACATTTTGCTACTGCTAACTAGGAATTTGATTGTTTGCCAAGACCACAGAGCAAATGCCTTACTGAAGTGTACCATATGACCGTTGTCATTTTGATAGCTCTAAAGTCTATATTACAACTCATTTAACATACAGAGAAACTGAAAAATCTTATGTTGGCCGTATACTTCCAGACTTTTTACAGGTAATGCAGTATATTTCAATATACTTTATTGTAACTGGGCAGCAGTTATTTACAAACAACATCAACCTATAATGCTAATCTCTGATAAATGGATATTTTTTGAATACACGCATTTGACACATTCTAGAATGAACACATAGAGACGCAGTTGTTTAGAATATAGGTATAAACTGATAAGGATAGAGCAGAACCCCAGAATCCTGACTCTTGGCAGGGCCTAGGCAGCAAATATATTCTGCCAGTCAGTGCTTGGGGGAGTGTGAACCCATATTGATTTTAGGGCATTTACTGAGCTGTCAAAAGCAGATACTCCCAAAATAGCAGGAAAAGTTTGCATGGCTCCAGTTAGCATTTTGGAAGAGTCTGCATCTTAGAAAGTGTAGTGGTAAATTTACTTACCGATCTGCATAGTGTTGGTTGCAGGAGGTCGTAGAGGAATGTACCATTGTTGGGTGATATAACTATCCATAGTGACTGCTATGTTAGTTTCTGTAGCTTACAGAACATAGCAAACTGTTGATATATTGTTATATCTTTAAAAAAATCTAATTTCACATTTTGTTTTTTTTTTAATGAAATCATATATATTCTTATACTTAGACTTTTTTTTTTTCCTGTTGAGTTTTACATTTGAAATTTCCTCTAAAGAACCATACCACCAGGACCATTAATATTAAAGCGAAACTTTACCCATAACAACTTGATAGAAAATAATGGTCTTTAGCAAGGAACATATATTCCACATTAATATTTATGCAACCAAAATTAGTGTGTGCTGTAAATGGCCTCCAGCATTATTCCTGTTTCTTCTTGCTGGAGGCTGCCATTTTGCTGAAGCCCAGAGTCCCTGAATAGCAATAAATTATAAAGCGGAACTACACCCACCAATTTAACAGTTTCAAAGAACAGTTGCATTCTTGGATTGCTGTGATTGATAACTGTCACATTTGCTTGTGTCCTCAACCAAACTGTCAAATCATCAAATAGCTGGTGTTATAGCTGATCACATGTGGAGCACCATGGCAGTTGCAGATCAAACAGAAGCAGCTTCCTTGGCTGTAAAGGATAGGCTGTCAGCAGATCTGCCTCTAAATGCCTAAAATTAGAGAGCAACTGAGCATGTGCAGAGCAGGCTTAGAGAGTGTTGTACTGATTTTTAACCCCTTGGTGCCGGCTCCTGGCCCTTTAAGGGATTCATGACGCCGGGAGGCAAGGCAGGGTTTAGGGTCATGTGACCGCCATGATTGGCTGTCATGGCAGTCACATGATTGTAAAGCTCCCGACAGCAAGTAGCGATAAGGACCTTTCTTTGAGACACCGATACATTTACATTGGGTACTCAAATATGTGGCCCCTTGGTGCCAAGGCCCAGCTGCTGAGAGGCCACATATTTGCATACGCTCAGCGCCAAGGAGTTAAACAGTATAGGCATTTGTTTTTAATGTTTTTCATGGCTATACCTGCAAAAGGTTGTCAGTCTGAAGTGATCTAGGAGAACTTTATTTTCTGACTAAAGTTTCACTTTAAGGTACTGAGGTTACAACGATCTTAAATTTGGCTGATTGTTTTACAGATTTGCCAGGATCATTCATATTATGCAACTTCTCACTTCTGTATATAGCTGCCCTTTGAATATATGAAGGTGTTTGTTTGTGATGTCTTATGTAATACAAGCTGTACTGTGGACTGAACTGAGAGTTTGAGTTGTCTGTACATGCCAAGAAAGTTCATATTTGGGAACTTGCTATGAGCATTTCATGCTGAATGTGTCCGAGTTCCTGTACTAGCAGTACTCTACATACTGGAATGCTTCATGAAACAAGTAAGGCACTTAAAAAGTATCCAATGGACAGCACAGCTATTCATGACAAATTAAATGTCCCTGGAAATGATCAGTTGTTTTGGATTTCCTCCTGGCATACTTTTCATATATATTTATACACATCTGTGGACATGATATATGATATATGGAATTATTTATCTAGCAGATGAAGTATTAAAAGTACTTTGTCACAGAGTTCCTCTACACAGTTTAAAGCAACACTAGGGTTGCAAAAGTCGCACCAGACCCTGGTGTTCCACCACCATGAGGGGGCCCCAAGAGCAGTGCCGTCTTCTCTCACGGGCATGGCCCTAGGTGCATGGGATGGGGGAGGGCCTGCAGTCCCCCTCCTCTTCCCCCCATCAGGGAGAATTGCATGTGGAGTGGGTGATCAGTGCAGTGGTGGAGGAATTAACTGAAGCCAATCATTTGTGGCTCCCCCTGCAGCAGCTGAAAGTCGGCAGCTCCTGCCACAAAAGATTGGTTTCAGTCATTTCCTCCACCACTACAATGTTCACTATCAGATTTCCCTTGCTGCCTACCAACATCCCCCCCCCCCCCCCCCCGTGTGCCAACCCCCCCTCACTCCTCTCTTGCCTGCAGTAGCTGCAGAGCTGCAGACATACAAGGGGGATCTTCTGGATGGAGAGCTGGGAAGGGGCCAGTAAAAATGTAATTTACTGGCCCCTTTCTTTTCTAAGTGAACACAGTGAGTGATCTGTACCAATCACTCCATGGATTTATTCATAACTGAAGCATAGTATTCTGTGTTTACTATACTTCAGTTTATGAAAGGACAGGAACCTCTTTCTCCTGTTCATTCATCTGCAGCTGAGGCTACAGAGAAAGGGATCAAGGAATGTTTCCTCAATCCCTTAAATTAATAAAAAATTATAAGTACGCTGTCACTTTCAGGTGCTATTCCTACTAATGTAGATACAACAATGTAATGTATTAATACAATTAGTGCAGAAATATGAAGAAAATTTTTAAAATAAAAACATTCAAAGATCAATAAAAAGTTCGAAATAGAATACAAAACTAGATTGTAAGCTCCGAGGAGCAGGACCCGCCTATCCCTCTTCTATTGAACTGTATTGTTGCTGTATTGTCTCCTGTTATATTGTAAAGCGCTGAGCAAACTTTTGGCGCTATATAAATCATGTATAATAATAATAATAAAATGTTCCAAAGTTGACAATGTCAAACTGTGAATCAATCTGAATGATAAGTACTCTCCAAGTGAATGACACCAGTCCTCACAGCTTCCTTACCAGATGGAGAGATCACAATAAACAGATATCAAATGACTCTCTTGCCCTCTTTTTCAAATATATGGACCTTGTATTGATCTTTAATTGTTTTTATCATTCATTTTCTTAATGTTTTTGCACTAATGTGTTTAATAATACATGTTGTTGTACCTATATTAGTATGAATAGCACCTTAAAGTGACTGTGCACCTATTTTGTGAGAAGGTGTTTTGATATCTAATATTCGGATATATTAGTGTTGCTGTTGTCACATATCTTTAATTTGTTTGTGAATCTCTTTTTTTTGTTTGTTTTGCCCAGTCTCACTGTCTCCTATGTCACATTTCCAGTTTCCAACCACCCTAATGCCAGCCATAGAAGGTTTGAAAATCGGCCGATTTTTCATCCGAAAGATTAATCGGCCGATTAATTCGTTGGCCGGTTTTCGCGGTTTTTCCAATTTTGGATTGTCGGTCATGTTGGAAAATTCGTGGAAAACTACCGATTTTAACGTCAATGATGGTCAAATCGTACGATCGTTTTTACAAAAAAAATATGCACATGAGCCATGACCTGGAAGGAACAGAAGTTTTGCCTGTTATATGGGGTGAACTTTATGACTTGGTCGGCCGATTTTGGTAATCATTGGTGGTAAAGTCGGTTTTACGAACAACTGATTTTTCTTTTATCAGACGAAAAAATGCCCGGTTTTCGAGCCGTCTATGGCCTGCATTATTCACACTTTGTGACAATCTCCTGTTGTATGTCTGCAGTGTTTGACAGTGTTCTGTAGCATTACATATACTATTTTGCCAAAGGTATTGGCTCAACCCTCCAAATCATTGTATTTAGGTGTTCCAATTACCTCCATAGCCACAGGTGTATAAAATCAAGCACCTAGGCATGCAGACTGCTTCTACAAACATTTGTGACAGAATGGGTCACTCTCAGGAACTCAAAACATGAGTTGCCACCTGTGCAATAAGTCCATCTGTGAAATTTCCTTGCTACTAAATATTCCACGGTCAACTGTTAGTGGTATTATAACAAAGTGGAAGCAACTGGGAACAAAAGCAACTCAGCCACAAAGTGGTAGGCCACGTAAAATGACAGAGCGGGGTCAGCGCATGCTGAAGCACACGGTGCACAGAAGTCACCAACTATCTGCAGTGTCAATAGCAGTGTGTAGAGAGCTTCATGGAATGGGTTTCCATGGCCGAGCAGCTGCATCCAAGCCTTACATCACCAAGGCAATGCAAAGCATCAGTTGCAGTGGTGTAAAGCACACCGCCACTGGACTGGGTTTGGCGGTTGCCAGGAGAACGGTACTTGCCTGATTGCATTGAGCCAAGTGTAACGTTTGATGGAGGGGGGTTGTTTTCAGGGGTTGGGGTGGCCCCTTAGTTCCAGTGAAGGGAACTCTTAAGGCATCAGCATACCAAGACATTTTGGACAATTTCATGCTCCCAACTTTGTGGAAACAGCTTGGGGGTGTCCCCTTTCTGTTCCAACATGACTGTGCACAAAGCAAGGTTCATAAAAATATGAAATGAACAAGCGAGCCAAGCCTTCTCGTCCGACATCAGTGCCTGACCTCACAAATGCACTTCTGGAAGAATGGTCAAACATTCCCATAGACACACTCCTAAACCTTGTGGACAGCTTTCCCAGAAGAATTGAAGCTGTTATAGCTGCAAAGGGTGGGCCAACTCAGTATTGAACCCTGCAAACTAAGTCTGGGTTTCCATTGAAGTTCATGTGCGTGTAAAGGCAGGCACCCTAATAATTTTGGCAAGCTCAGTGTGGCAAGTCACAAATCTGGAGGACAGAAGACAGCAGGGATTGCTCTCTCTCTCCCCTTTAGCAGCTGATCACCCCTGTTTTGGAACTGTTAGATCAGGACTGTGCAGGGTAAGCCTACCCTGTAAAGTCGCAGTCTGACAGTAGATGTCCCCGAGCCGCTCTCCCACACCCCTACAGCAACCAAGCTTTTCTGCCCACTGGAAGAGAGTGTTAGTGTCCGCTGGCCCTAGGTTCCTCCTCAACTCTGGTGTGCCAAGATGAGGAGGAGCCTGGGGGGGGGGGGAGGGCATCACACAGCTTCTGCCGTGCTGCCTCTGAGGTGTGTGTGTTTAAAGGAAGAAAGGAATTGTACTGGGAACATGGTGAGGGTGGAAAGTAGGAAACCAGGAATGAGAGTGTGCTAGGGAGGGTAGAAGGATAAGAGGATTAGTGCTAGTTGGGAGGTTCTGATGGAGATGAAAATGTGCTAGGAAGGGGGATTGGGGGGATATGTGCAGAAAGGGAGATGGGGGGGGGGTGCTAGGAAGGGTGATTTGAGGGAATTTGTCCTGAGAGGGGAAATTTGGGAGGGGGACTTGTGCTTGTAAGTAATAATTAAAAAAAAACGTTTTTTGGGGGGGGGATTTTTGTTGGGAAGAGGGATTTGTGGGGGGGGAGGTATATTTGTGCTAGGAGAGGAAATTTGAGAGGGGGGGTTGTTCTAGGAGGGGGATCTGTTCTATGAGGGGCGGGATTTGTGTTGCAGGGAGCATTTGTGCTCATGGAAAAAATAGGGGAGAAGGATTTGTGCTAAGAGAAGGGATTTGGGAGGGGGGGTGTTTGGAGGGGAGGGGCTTTGTGCTAGGAAGGGCAATTTTTTTTTTTGAGGGGGGTAATTTGTGCTAGGGAGGGGGATTTGGGGAGGTCATGCTAGTAGGAATGATTAGGGGGATTTGTGCTTGGGAGGATTCGGGGATATATGTGCTGAGGAACAGGCTCATGCCATGCTCATATGGATATTTGGGGAGTGGGGCTGTGCTAGGAGGGGGAATGGATGGGAATTTGTGCTGGGGAGGAGAGAGAGGATTTGAGGTGAGAAAGAGGATGAGGGGTCAAAGATCTGTGCTGGAATGTGGGGAATTTTCATTCAGCCTGGGTTCACAGACATGCGGTGCGGCATGTATTCACCGCATTCCTGCACAAATCACATGTGAATTGTGTGTGGTGTGATTGGTGTAATCGCACCGCACCCGCAGCAAAAAGGTGCAGGACCCTTTTTTTGGTCTGCACTAGACTCTGATCACATGGGTATTCACACCTATGCGATCCGATTCTGCACATCGCACCGCATTTTGCGGACCGCTTTCGGGGTGTTGTTAACTTAACATACACACCCACAGCGGTGCGGAATTTGCACTGAAAACGCTGTGAATTCCACACCGCATCAGTGTGCAGCAGTGCTTAGGGAGAATTTAGGCTTGGGGAGGGGGATTTGCTAACACATAGTGCTCATATATCTAGAGGGGTCACAGTTTGGCATCTTCGCCCTGGGTGCTAGCTAACCTTGTCTCAGCACTGCTGTAGAGGGATATGCTTTGTTCATATTTCTTGTCTGAGGTTTACAACCACTTTAAAACTTCCCATACTCTATCTAAAGTGGGGAAAAGAAGCTTTACTATACTGTAAACCTGCTGACTCACATAACCTATACTTCACTGTCCCTGTTCTTTTCACCTATTATACAGAAAGCGCACTGCCTTACAGCAGTTGTGTCCTCCCTCCAGCTCTCAGTGCTGCAATGTGGTGAAAGCTGCAATCTATGTGCAGTAATAGCCACTGACTGGTTATTCAGGTAGAAGCAGCCAGTAGGTATTGCCGCCACTCACAGGTCCCAACTCTCTTGCCGCAAGAAGTACAAGACTATCAAGAGGACTGGAGATGATGGAGCACAGCCAGAACTGTAATTAGGCAAGTCTAAGTAGGGGTCATAATTGAAATGTTAGACTAGAGAAGAAAAGGTAATGTACCAAATAAGTTATGAAATGGTTTTTGGTCTGCTTTAAAGTACCCAGGCAATAAGATAATATCTATAGTTTTTAACTTACATGTTCTTTTATTGCTTTCTTTTTTAGCAATGGGTCACATGTTCAAAAATATTCCCCATCAATCTGGCATTTCAGAATCTTACTGTATGGCCTTATGCACACAGGATGTTTTAAAAACGCTCTGCCTTTTGGCAACAGAATTTTGGCAGAAAAAAACATGTGAAACTTGTCAAAGTGTCTAATGCTTTTACGAGCGTTTAGGCGCGTTTGCAAGCGCTTTGGCATAATTCATTTCGTAGGTCAGAATAATTTATTCTGGCCACTGAAGTGAATTAACCCTAAAGCGCTAAACATGCCTAGCATTAACATGCGTTTAGACACATTCACAAGCGTCAAGCGTTTTTTTCTGCCAAAACGCTGCTGCTCCTGGATGCACTGGCCCTGGGTTTTCTTCCTGCTGGTAAATGCTACTGCTACTAAAAGCTTCTAAAAGTCTATGTGTGCATGGACACATAGAATAACAGTAGTTATTAATAAGAACAGTTTGGAAGCAGTAAAAAAAAAAACAAACCTGCCTGACTCCCCTAAAAGTGGTTGCAAAAACGCCCTGTGTGCATGAGGACTAATTGACACAGCAATGTAAGGTGTATTTCCAGCATCTTAAACTTTTTGACCCTGAAAACCAAACGCAGGAAAGTATTATCAGACGGGGACCCAAGATGATAATTTATTACCAAAATGTCAGCAAAGCCATACAGTGACAAAATCAGTAAACATATTTGTTTCCGTCCAAGTATAGTTCTGTTGAGGCAGAAAAGTGATAAGCTAAACTATTATTAAAAAATAATTAGATTTCAAAATGGAGAATATATTCCTGAGCATCATTCTTTACATCTATGAAAAAAAACTCCAGGCAGCAGACATATTAATACAGCTCTGTATTCATCATACATCAGGAATGTGATCTCCACTGATGCACAGATTTTCGCACTTGCACAAATTAGGCTAAACAGTCACATGGTGACCCATCGTAAACCTATCCGCAACCTAATTTGGGTTCTCAGCCATCATTTAAGAAACACTGGCTTGCACCAATGAACCAACTTGATGGCTCTTAGTCCTCATGCACACTGGACGTTTTTACAGCTACTGTTTGTGGCTTTTGACATTTTTTTCCACAGCCAGTAAACTCCCCAGCATGTTATCCTATGTGTCCATGCACACATAGACTGTAATCAATGTTTTTTGGCTGGAAAAAAACCCAGGACTAGTGGGTTTCTAGAGGAGTTTTTTAACTGTAAAAAACGCTCTAATGTGGTAAAACGTGGTGAAATGCAGCAAACTGGTGTTTTTTGGACTTTTTTTTAACAAAACAAAAGGTTTTTTTTTTTAGTATCAAAAATGCAAATGTGGGAAAAACGCCATTAAACGTGGTAAAACGCCACTAAATGCTATTGCAAAAACACTGAAAAACGTGACTTTCCACAGCTAACGTTACCAGCGTTATTAAAACGCTCAGTGTGCATGAAGCCTTAGATTGTAAGCTCTAACGAGCAGGGTCCTCTGTTTCCTCTTGTACCAAATTGTATTGTAACTGTAATGTCTACATTCATTTTGTAAAGTGCTGCACAAACTGCTGGTGCTATATAAATCCTGTATAATAATAATAATAATAATAATGTTTATAGTGTACATTTCTGGATTCTGAAGCTCGGTATTTTATGGTCTATGGTTTTATGGATTTATTCTCCGCAACTACCATGACTTTGACAAATAACCAGACCGTAACCTCAGTTTTGTTCGGAATCTGAATATTGCATTGCACTTGCAAGAAGCTTTAAGGGAATTGTTTTGGCTAGAATGCAACACACATTCCTAAATTTGTATCTCCCAAATCCCATGATACTGTGCTAAATATTGTTGTGTCACCTAGTATTAGCTTCTGGCTGGCACCTTAATATATTAAGTATTAACACAAGGACATCCAGGCCAGTGAGCCCGTATAGCTGATGCAGCAGCTCCAAAGACCTGGAACAGGTGATGATTGCTGAGAATAACATAGCCTGCTAAAGTGCTTTGCTGCAAATCTCTGGGAACTTTTCTTTGGCAGCCTTTTTCATCACCAAGGACATATTTGATCTGAATCCAGAACATGTAATTATCAGAGATACAAACCCCTGCCAATGTGCTTTATTTGCACACATGCTCTATTTGTTGCTTCAGTATTAAACATCCTTGAATTCTGAACACAGATTCTATTTTTGTAATCTTGGCACGGTATGTGTAACAGTACATACAGCTTATTGAAATCTTCATGTCAAAACCTAATGCTGGTGACATACGTGAGATATTATTTGGACCCTAGGATTCAATTTATTTTGAACATTTTTTTATTCAGTTTTCAAAAAGGGTATAAACGAGGTAAGATAGTCAGGTTCATATTCATAGAATAAAATCAATAATGTATAGATTTTAGGATTATCACC